TTCTTAAAATTAAAATTAATATATAAGTTTTTATAATTAGTAAAATACTATCGCAGAAAGATTAAAAAAAATTAAAAAAAATTAATAAAAATTAATAATATTTTATTTATAAAAAATAATTCCCGTGGAGCAGAATTATAATATTTATAATTTAAAACTTCTTATAATTATAAAATTATTTAAAAAATAATAATACTAGCTTAAAAATATAAAATATCTAATAAAAATAGTTATTAATTATAAAAATTTTAAATATTTTATAATTAATAAAAAACTATTATAAAAATAAATTAAATAAATATAATAATTTATAATATTTAAATTTTTTTAATATATAAATTATTTTATAGAACCTAGTAGATATCTTACTATAATAATCTAACTATAAAAAAAAAGCTGTAAAAAAGAACTACAAGAAATTTAAAAAAATAATATTATAATAACTAAATAATTTTTTAAATTTAAAAAAAACGCAGCTATTTTTATAAAAATTAGAATACTACTTATAAAAAATATTACAAAAAATCTAAATTAGCTAAAATCTTATACAAAAATAATAAAAATAATTATAAAAAAAATATATACTATAAAAATCTATCTATTAATCTTATATAAAAATTATTCTAACTATTATAAAAAAATAATCTTATAAAAAAAATATTCTAAATAAAATAGAATAAAAACTGCGGGAGTAGTTTTTTTTATAAAAAAAAACACCCGCAGAAAAAAAATTATTTATAATAAAATATTAATTAAAAACTATTTTATTTTATAAAAAAGTTATATATTTTAAATAGTTATTAGATAAGACTAAAAATCCTCGTAAAACTAGATAATAATTTTATTATTAAATATTTTATAAAAATAAGAATCTAAAAATTAATTTTATAAAAATTTTAATAGTTAGAACTAGCTAAATTTATATAAAACTACTATTATATATATAAAATATATTAAAATAAACAAATAATTTATATAAAATAATAAAAATTATTAAACCTACTATTATCTACCGCAAGATTTTAGAAAAAAATAATTATAAATTTTATTATAGATTTATTTATAAATATTTATAAAAATAAAAACTTACAGAAGATTTATAATAATATTATAATTATAATAACTTAATTTAATAAAATAGCTTATTTTATTTTTATTTATAAAATTTTATTAGAAAAAAAACTTATAATAATCTTTTTTAAAAAGATTTTCCGACTATATAAAATATCTAAAAAAATAATTATAAACTATAAATTAATTTTTATAAAAAGCTTCTAATTAGACTTTATTTATATTTTTATAATTTAATAAAACTTAAATATAATCTACTATTTATAAATAAATAGTTAAATAGAAAAAATAAATAGTATACTAAAATAATATCTATAAAATTATATTAATTTTAAATAAAATAATTAAAAAAAATATTATTATTTATAAAATTTATTTATAATAATTCTTTATAAGTATTAACTAAATATTTTTTTTTATAATAATTATATAATATCTATAAATAATAGTCCTAGATTTATAAATACTAAATAATCTTATAAAAAAACTAAAGTAATATTTTTAAAAAATTAAAAAAATAAGAAAAAAAATAATTATAAATCTTAAACTAGTTTATAAATATTAAAAAAACTTTTATAATAAAAACTGTAAGACTATTATTTTTATAATAAATTAAAAAATTTAAATATTTATAAAAAACTTACTATAAAGAAAATTAAATAAAAAATTAGATTAATACTATCGCAGATTATTTTATATAATTAAAAAATAAATAAATAAATTTATAAACTAAAATTATTTATAAATTTTTAGATTTATAATATTTTTTATATATTTTCATTTTATAAATATTATATAATAAAAAAATAAACTTACAAAAATATTTCTTATAAAAAAATAAAAATCTAAATAATTATAAATATTATTTAAAAATATTACTAGATTCGCGACGCTGTAAAGAAACTATAAAAATTCTAATAAAATAAAAAAAATACTATAATAAAAAAAATACTTAAAAATCTACTATAAATTTATATTATTTATAGATTTATAAAAAATTTATTTTATAAAGATATAAAAAACTTAATTAAAAAACTAAAAAAAAACTAGACTAAATATAAATTATAAACTATTTATAATTATATATTTTATAATTTTTATATAAATTATAATATATATTTGCAATATACAGCAGCCGGAATATATAAAAATATAATTCTATTTTATAAAAAAATAATACTTATTATTTATATATAAATAGTTATTATATTATTAGCTAATTTTTTTATTAATATAATTATAGAAAACTCTTTTAGAAAAAAATTATAATAATATTTATATATTTAATTAAATAATAACTATTAATTAATTTATAATATAAAAATATTCTTATAAAACTAGATCTGAACAATCAGCTATTTTAAATCTAATTATTTAATATATAATATTAATTATATAATAAACTTGCAGATTTAAATCTATTTATAATTAAATAAAAACTATAATTTTATTTAAAAAAAATCTAATATTATAGCAGATATTATTATATTATAATCTAAAAATCAGATTATAATAAATAGCTTAATAAATTATAAAATATTTTATTTATTATTATCAGCCTGCTCGCAGGGTGTAGATTAATTTTAAATAATTTTAAATATATTTATTAAAAATAAAAAAAATCTAAAAATTATAAAAATAGAAGCTATAAAAATTATAATAATATTAATTATAATCAACTACTAAATCTATTCTCTGTGGATATATATAATAATATAAAAAAAATAATAATAATAATAATAAATATAATAAAAATAAATATAATAGTAGTAAATATAATAAAAATAAATATATTTATAATATTAATAATAGTAGATCTAATAGCAGCAGTAATAATAAAAATATTTTTTTTATAATAAAATAAAAATAATAAAATATATTATAAATAATTAACTAAGTCTGAATCTATTCTATAAATAACTAATATAAAAAAAATAAAATAAAATAAACTAATAAAACCTGCGGACATAAAGCTTAAATAATAAACTATAAAAAAAAATTAATTAAGTTTTTATAAAAAAAAAAAATAAAACTAAGTTCTTACAAAAACCAAGCCCGCAAGAAAAATTAATAAAATATTTTAAAAATTATTATAAAAAAAATTAATAAATATTAATTTATAGGAGTATCTAAAAAAAAAATATTATATAAAAAAACTTATTATAAAAGAAAAAAAAAAGAAAAAAAAATTATAAAAAAAAAGAAGACCGAAGATCTAAAAAAAAAGTCTTTTTATATAAAAAAAAATTTTATTTTTATAAAAATAGTTTTACTAGTCTCAACTACAAAGTATTTCAAATAATTTAAAAAAATAAATTAAAAAAAATTAATATTATTTATTATTTTAACTGCAGAAGAGCTGTTTATATTTACTAAAAGAATTATTTATATTTATTAAAAAATAATTTTTATTACTGCGGGAAGACGTCTAAATATTTAATAAAAAACTATTTAAATTTTATTATAAAAAATAGTCTATAAATAATAAATTATATACTAGAAGCAACTATCGCAGAAATATTAAACAAATAATATAATATTCTACTATAAAATAAGAATAGTAAAGCTATTTTTTTTATTATTCTAATTTTCCGTAAAGTAGTTTATAGAGAAAAGAGTTTAATAATATTATTATAAAAAATAATCTATTCTCTGCGAAAAAAAAAATAATTATAAAAATTAAGCTAGTTTTTTTAATTTTTATGATTTCTATAAAGAAAAATCTATATATATTATATCTTAGATATTAATTATATAATAACTAAACAAACAGATTATAATTCTTATTTAAAAACAAGCACCTCGCAAATTAAAAAGTTTAGTAATAATATTTTAAAATAATATATTAATATCTTTAACTTCGCGAAGAGTTATTCGTTCATCATACTATTTTATTCTACCAGTCCTTATATAAACAATTACTAAAATTTTTTAAGTATAAATATCAGCAGCTGTTAGAATTTTGAAAGAAATATAATTATAGCAGCAGCGATAGTATTATTAATAATAATATTAATAATATCAATAGCAGCGGCAGTAATAATAATAAAAAAAACTATTTATAATAAATCTCTTTAAAGTAGCTGCGGCTGTGTTTTATAGATAATAAAAAAAATAGAAAAAAATATTCTATAATTTTATGTCTATTTAATTAGAATCTTTAAGCTATAATATATATTTCGGTTATTAGCTGTTCTAATTAATTATTAGAATAGTTATTTACTATACTGTAAATAAGCAGTTTAGTATTTTAATTAGCTGTTTAAAACTATTTAAAATATATATAATAATAAAAAAAATATAATAGATTTAAAAAGATTTATAGAAGTCAGAATTTACTAATTTAAGATTTTTTTTTAATAACAAATATGTAAAATAATAATAATAGTAGCAATAGTGAAAGTATTAATATATATATATTAACTATATTTTTGTTTTTGATAGGTAATAAAATACGGACTGTTCTGCTGCTTTTATTTGTACCGCCGTCTATACTATTTTCTGTCCTGGGCCTGGAACTGGCCCCGAGCGTAGCGAGGGTCATCAAGGCTTGTATATTAGTATAAAAATAATCAATTTAATATCTTAGCCCGAGCCGGGCTTATATTTATTGGAGAATATATTTAAAAGCTAGAATATATTATAAAAGCTAGCTAAAAAACTAAGACAATTTGAATTATATTAATTAGCTATGTGTTATTTTTCACTTTCGGGTGTTATGTGATCCGGCGATCCCAGGCCACCGACGCCGACACAAGTCCTGATGACTGCCCAGACTGCGGAAGGCGTGCACGTGAGGAAAGGCTGTGTTGCTCGTCAGGATTCAGAAGACAGTCCTGTTAAAGACGCCATCTGGTGGCGTCGTCCTGGGTGCGAGCAGGGTGTTGGTGGTGGGTATATATTACATCGCAGAGTAAAACCCGCACCTGCAGCAGGTATGACGGTGGCGAAAGGATGTGTGGGGCAGGTAGAAGGCGTAATTCGTATCTCATTTGGTACCGTGCATAATGATTGATCATTGGCACATTCTTAAGTCCACCTTCCCCAGACAGGGGAAGCCAGACAACTGGTCCTGCAACTGCGGTAAACTCCCCGACAAGCCTCCAACGTCAGAGAGGATCAACCGCTTCAACGTATGTCGAGACCGATCGAGGATGTGCATGAGATCTGACGACCGAATAGCTGTAGAGCAGAGCGATATCCGTTCCAACAGGCAGGATAAAGACTCTGACTTGGCGACATGCGAGTAGAATTCGATGGCTAAGTCTTTAGGTGTCAGACTGAGATATAGTTTACGAAGAGTCGGCGTGCTGAGCAGCATGTTGAAAAGGAAGGAATAGTTATGTGGCGTGAGTCTGTGCTCCAGGTGGAGGTTCGTGAGGGATCCCCATCCGGCACGAAAGCCTGGACTGAGGAAGAGCGTTTTTGGTAGTCTCTGAATGTTCATGATCTCGGACCTATAGTTCGTTCCCCTGCCATACCAGAATAGCTTCACGGGCAAAGCAGTATCGGCGATAATGTCAAGCAGGATGCTCGCGGCGTCGTCGGGGGTGAAGTGTTGGTCATAGGACACATCCATTTCGTCTTCGTCGGGCGCAAGATGGTTGCCTAGCGGTGAAATTACAAACGATCGGCAATTGACCAGCTTGTCGACCAGATTGTTGCGGAACTGTCGGATAGTGGGATTTTCGAGGGGGTTGAAAATATGGCCCGCGGCGCTGCGCTGCCATTCGAGATTGCGCCCGAGAAACGGTTCGGGAGCCATGACCACCAACCGCTGAACATGCTGTCGCATGATCTCGTTAGTTGCGATAGCGTGGATTTGACTGAGGCTCCCCTTGGAGAAATCGAGGTGAATTTCCGAGTAGCGTTGGGCCAGGCGATGGATTGTTCGGTTGTATGTATGGCGACATGTTCCCAGCAGAGAGGCTAGATCCTGAGTTTCGAGCTCGTCGCAGATGAGCTCCAGAAGCTCCAATGGTAGTTTGTCTAGCATGCAATGCATGGTGATGTAGCGTACGGCAAATACGGCGATCAGACTTTGGAGAGGGTGAGAAGATCTCGCTATCGTCTTTCATTTATGCGACGGAGCCGGCGGCCTCAAGGTCCCTCGCGTACCTTGGTGGCACGGTCCTAAACTCATTTGTCGCAGATCGTCATCCCCGCTCCAATCTCGTATCAAGCAGTGATTAACACGCAACGGTCAGAACCCTGGTTGTAATCGAGATATTATGAGTTTGATCATCACCCGATGAACTGAGAGCCATTGAAGCGGTAATCGGTTTGCCAGAAATGCTTCCGCCCCCGCTCCAGCGCCTGGTTGTGCTTAGCCTTCTTCTTGCTTCATAGCTCTTGATGCTCGCTACGGGGAGGCTTCTTGCTTGGGGACTCCTTCTCTAAGATGTCTGTAGACATCAACATAGGAGCTGAGGGGACCTGACGTCTGCGCTTTCGGATCGGTGCGCTCTCGTTTGGAAATAGACCCGCTTCGGCACCAGGCTCATTGCGCCGGGGGAGAGGGCTTGAAGCAGACCTAGAATCGCTGCCGGTTTCACCAAGATCCCAGTCTTTTCTCCTGCGGCGCTTTCGTGCCTTTCGATTCTCCTTTTCTTCATGCCGGGTTGCTGTTGATGCCGCCTCGAGTTGAGCTTCTTGCAGAGCTCGTGCGCGCTGGGCATTGAGAGGACGGGGCTGGCAGTCTCCGCACATATGCTCGTCCGGGATTTGATTATCGCCGTAGTAGCACACGATGTGTTGCCATGTATTGCACTTTTCGCAGTATATTGTCTGACCGTCATCGTGGCTGAGACCGCAGATGCATTTGATCATTTCCGACTCCTGCCCCGGCAATTCTTCCATCAAATTTTCAGTGCCTGGGAGCTCGATTTCGTAATGGTCATTGAAGACGGCGTAACCTTTCTTGGGGTTTCTGGGGGCGGACATCACAAACGGTTCCAAATTACGAATGCTCCCAGAGTAGTCACCATTCTCGGGCACGACGTGGTCGCGGTCGATGTGGAAAAGCAAGGACTGCGATGAAAAGAAAGGTTCGCGCTGTGGACAATCATCCCATCTGCATAAGAGCGGTTGCCCCGATGTTTGCAGAGCTTTCTGTTCCAGCTCCTCGAAAACATCAAACGGATCGACTTCGGCGTTATCCACAACTAGCCCACCGTGGGTGACCTTGATATGGTGCATCAGATCTTCCTGCAGACTGTATGATGTACTACATCTTTCTAGCGGACAGCGGATTCCAAGGTGTGCGACATGCTCGTCTTTTATGTGTTTGAGCAGGGTACCCTGAGAGCCCCATGTGCAGGAGTAAGAGCAATCATGCCACCTGCACTTGGAAGGATTTTGAGAATTTGGATCGTCGCTTGTGGGAAGAGGTCTCGGACTCTGGTCAAAGGGAGACGAACTATTCCGGGGAGGAGGCGAATCAGGTTGATAGTCGAGAGCATCAACACTGGGAACAGGAGAGATGTGACTATGTCTAGATGTATACATAGCTTCATTAGCGGGTGAGGGGCTCCGGTAGCTGCTAAATTCAAGGCCTGATAAATTCTGCGACAGCGCACTGTGGCGGTTGCCACTAACGATCGATATATTCGCCAGACTGTCCCTTACTTCTTCGTCGCTGTTCGCGTTATTCTGTATCGGCGGAAGCGACAAAAGGGCCAAGTCGAACAGGTGGTCAGCAATGTGTTCCTCCATAGGTGTCGGTCCACCAGAGACTTTTGGCTTTTCGGGATCTGGATGCTCTAACCAGTCACAAAATGGACAACTGGGAAACATTGGACCAGGTCGTGCGGCTCGGATCTGAAGTTTCTTGATTTGCATATCAGTTAACCGTCCAGAATGCATGTCTCTAACATGATTCGCAAACTCCTCGGCACTCTTCATTACTGTCCGATCTGACGATGCATGGCGCATTGAACAGATCCATTCCGTCGATGGTGCTGGATGGGCTTTCAGGTGCGCCAGCCATTGCTCAGCGGAGGAGAACAGCTCACGAGGGCTCGTACAGTCTTCGAAGAGACAGATGTACGGCTCCAGGTCATCCTGAAAGTGCTTTCTACCAAAGTTCAGCGTATGAAGGCTTGTGAATCATGTTCACTTACATCCATCGAGTGCCAGTCAGATACTTGATGTTGATGACAAAAGGACAGTATGGGCATTGCGCCTCTTTCTGTCCGGAAGCTACTGATGGGGGCTTGGGAATGTGTTCGTTCATTCGTGGAATGTGAGAACTCGGTGTTGCTGTAGACACCACAGACGGTTCCGATGAGCGTGGGTACTGAAACCGTTGAGGATAAAAGGTAGACGCCGTTCGAGTCGTAGGGGCTCGTGCTGGCGAAGGGAGCGGAGCATCTGGTATTGAGGGTCGCTTCCGGCTGGCTGGTGGGGTCGGTATATGGTGGACCCCCCGGCCACTTGGCAGAACCGGGGCGACGAAGCCACCTTGATACTTCTTTGCCAACGGCTTGTTGTACAGAAACCGACGTCGTCGAAAGCAAATAGCATCCGCAAGCCGAGATCGCAATGCTTCCGACAAGCGAGAGTGTCGGAGCTTCAGCACCTGGGATATGAAAGATTCAAAGGCTTGGTTGATGTTATTACCATCTTCGTCAAGGATAATCAAACGAGTAATACGCGAATAAGGATTTCTAACTCCAGCATTGCGTATCGCTGTTGAAAGGTGATGAAGACGAGTGATGGTGTCCTCCACGGCTTGATATGCCGGCACGATGGACAAGTTTTTTAGAGGTTGGATCTGAAAACCTGGATAGCAAGGCGTTGTGGTCTCACACTGATTCGATACCTCTGAGCGACTTGCTTCATCATTGTTGTTGGGACTAGATACTTCCACCTCGGTGCGAAGAGCTGTACACATATCAGCTTGCAGCGCTGGTCAAGTGGGGGAAGCAGGACATTGTAGCGAGGTTATCGCTTGATTACACACCCTGACCGGCATATAGCGCCAGAATCTCGAGCAGGTTGATGATGATTCTCTGTACGTCTGGGCTGTCCCTCAGACGATACTCCAAGGATGCTTTATACCTAGCGAAAACACCTATATTGGTAGCCCACAGGTTAAAGCGCGCGAGCTGAGCTTCAGCCAAGTGGGAGAAAGATCCCGAGACTTGGAGGCACTTTTCCAGAGCGATGACCGCGTCTTGAGCCAGCACCGTAATCTGACGCTTTTCGGGGTCTTCAGGGTCTTCCATGGCCGGGCTGCAGATCTGGAATCCTCCAGACAGGAGTTTGAATTGACTAAGATGGGGCAGGAGGGGAAAGAAAAACGTGGGCTGTCACGTGGCATCAGCACTAGTCAGTGAGGCTGAGCCGAGATCGAGCTGGAGTCACCACTCACCATCCCACCGTGTCACTCATGGCAAGATTATTTGGATCCTTATATCTGACCTGATGGCTTTCGCATCAGGGAGCGTGGATCAACCTCCTGGTGAACTGTTCTTGCTATTCCAAGCTGTTTTACCCCACTTTGCTTCCATCGCCAGCCAACGGGTCACGCAATACCGCGACAATGCAGACAAACGCATTCCCTACGTTTTATTCGAGGCCGATCTCATTCTCCTGGGCCTACGACAACCCACCATTGCTGCATCTCTCTCTCCCGAATCAGCGACAGAAATGAGGAATGCTTGCGTGGAACAAATAACGGAGATGCTGGGGATTCTCGAGAGCATATTACGACAGGACCGAACTTCTACCGAGGTAATGGTCGGGCAGTTCGGATATCGACGAGGTCTTTACTGAGCAAACGTGACTAGGCCAACTCGTTCTATCCTTTACTCGAAGGCATCCGGGCTGGCACCATCTCCTGTGCCGATTTCGAATTGTGTTCTGCCGAGGGGGATCAGTACGCCACAGTGAGCAAATTTAGTCAATGCGCTCGCGAATTGGATCGTCTTTGTAGCGATGAGACACCCGTGCCGCCCTCAAAACGTCATAAGAAGCAACCGTCCTTCGAAAAGACCCGAGCTTTTGCAAGACTCCTGTATGAATGTGTTTCAGCCAAGGGGCAGTGCCAATGCAACTCCTGTCGTGGCTCAATGCTTTACCTTCAAACTCATTCCCATCCGGAACCTTCGCGCGTCCAGCTCAATTTCAAAATGCTTTTTACCAAGGCCTCCGCCTCCTCCTACAAGTGGTTCGAGGGAATCGTCAACGTGACTCTTCCGGATTCAAGTATGAGCACTTCTGTGTCTTCCTGCCAGCGTGATCTGGACCTGAGCCCTAAAGAGCAAATTGCCATCAGATTCACACTCAATGCGGCTTCCAATGGGCCTCCGTCGCGCGACATCGCGATTGAGTCAATATGTCTTGCCCTTCCAGCAAGCAATATGTCGATTCTCAACCTGGGTATTGAGGGCGCCAGAATGGTCAAGAGACCACCTCCCCGTGAGCGAGCCTCGGCGTTTACATACGATCAAGCGTTGACACTTGACGAAGTCCTACGGATGACACCACCGTTGCCGCTAAAGCTGCGCCGGATTCTCGCTGTGGTTCTTGCTCATTCCGCTTTACAGCTCTACGAGACTCGTTGGTTGCCGACGACTTTAACCTCGACGCGTGTCATCTTCATGCAAACAGACCAGGGTCAAGTCGTTCCTCGGCCATTGATTGCCGCTCGGCCGGCACAGAAAGAGGACAGAGCTGAAGAGACGCATGATTGGCAGGACCTGGCTCATTCGAGTCCGTTTGTTCTCTCTCTCGGAATCATCCTGCTTGAGTTATGGTTCGGTAAGCATATCAGCGAGTTGCGTGATACAGCGGATATGCCTCTCGACGGGACAGAGGATCCCAATACCGACCTTTTCACCGCGCAGCGATTATGGGAGCAGTCCGAATGGGATATGAGTACCAGATACCGCAATGCAATTGGAGCCTGTGTGAACTGGGATGTTTGGGACTCCGAAAAAGCCAGCCCAGAACATCTCTGTCGATTATTATATGACCAGGTCGTGTCACCTATCGAGGATCAGTTAGCAGAAGAGTTCAACGCAGATATCGAAGAGATAGATAATCTTCTTTTGTCCTTGAGCAAGAGCAAAGATCAACGGGCCATAAGCCTAGCCCATCAGAAGCGACTTCTGAACGGTGGGAAACGCTCGCATCCCAATGGTTCAATTCAGTCGTACCCTGTCAAAAGGCGATACACCGCAGATCAATGCAGACCATCCCGAAG